CTTTTGCAGAGTCTTGCAGGAAGTTAGAATCTGATCTTGCCTGCTGGGCGTGGCTGTGGGGCAGAGGGGTTGGCTGTGCCCTGGAGCAGCGGATTGGTGGGCTTTGGCAAGGAGCAAATAGGTTGGGAGGAAGCTCTCTAAGTTTTGTTCTCTTCTCCTTTTGCATCTTCATCCCAGAGCAACAGCTGAGATGCTCAAGTCCAAGGGATGACATTAGGGCTGTCCCAAAGCCCTGCTTGGGTGAGGAATTGACCCATGCAGTCTTCTCAAGTGCCCTCAGGCTTTCATTCCCTCATCTCATCCCACACTGCTCCCCCTGCGGCCCTTCCCCACCTCAGGTAGGGCTGGTAACAGTTTAGGGTGCTGCTTCCTGCCAGGGCTGCTACTTCCCAGGTGTTCAATGATGAAACCTTGTCCGGAGCACCTGCCTGGGATGGCAGCAAATGGGAATCATCAAATCTTGGACTCATCCCCTTCCCTTCCCCTAAGTTTACCTGGAGACAGCCAGACTACGCCCACTACAAATATGAAATGCACTTGACAACACATACCATCTAAAGCAGAATTGCCAGAGTGGATGAGCAAGGAACTAAAATATGCATGTTAAACATACTTACATAGATAAGGGAAGATCTCAGCAATACCAGGCAAGAACAAGTCCTTTAAAAAAATCCCAAGTGTAAAAGAGAATTAGGAAGCATATAATCATTGAAATGGGATAGCTAGCTGAAGAATGCCACAGAGTTAGAAGCTTAGATTGAGCAGTCTTCTCAGGCAAAAATAATAGAAAGAAAATAGCAAGGAAAATTCAAGCCAGGTGTAGGGGTGTGTGCCTGCAGTCCCAGCCAGTTGGGAGGCTGATGCAGGAGGATTGCTTGAGCCCAGGAGTTTGGGCTGTAATGCGCTATGCAGATCAGGTGTCTGCACTGATTTGGGCATCAATATGATGACTTCCTAGGAGTGAGAGACCACCAATTGGTGTAAGGAGGGGTGAACTGGCCAAGGTTGGAAATGGAGCAGGTCAGAACTCTCAGTGCTTATCAGTAGCGAGATCACACCTGTAAATTGCTGCTGTACTCCAGCCTGGGCACCCTAGGGAAACTCTTACCTCTTTAAAAATCCAGAGAGATATGGAGTACAGATGCACCAGCTTCCAGATAGTATAAGTCCCAGAAAGAGACAGGAAAAAGAGAGGGAAGAAGATGTTCAAAGAAATAGTGAATATAAAATTCTTTTCATTAAAGACAAGTGGAAGGACTTCAGAGTACAAAAAGGCCAGATAAAGAAAAACTGTCAATTAGACACATTGCAGTGAAAGTTAAGAACATCAAAGACAAAGAGAAATTCTAAAGTCTTCTAGAGGGAAAGCCCAGATAACCAATCAAAGATGAGGGGTTACAGTAGTATGAGACATCTTATTAGCAATATTGGAATAGGATTGGAAGAAATGGAGGAATGCTTTTAAGGTAAAAAAGAAAACATGGAAAAACATTGAACTGAGGATATATGTCTTTCCAAATTGTTATTCATTGTGAGATTGTAAAAAAATGCTTTCAGGAATAAAAGGCCTTCAATAATTTTGTACACAAAGACCCATGTTGAAAATATTCTTAGATGAATACTCAGAAATGCAAAGTCTTTACTGGAGGGAGAGATATATCCTCTTTCCCTAGATCTTTCTTTTCCCTAGATCAAGATGCAGCCCTGTCCTTCAGAAGCTCCTATTGGAGACAAACACCTGCACTCCAGATATTTCTGACCAAAACAAAAGCCCTGGCAAGCATTTGACTAAGGCTTTATTTCAAGCAGCTTTTCACTGCCTCTAAAGGGCAATCACTGAGGAGTAATATGGACCCAGCCTCACCCCGGCAGTCTGTGAAGGTAGCTGGAACGACAATGACTCTACTTATGTTGTAATTAATAAATGGTACTTGTTCTAAGACAAAGGACAAAAAAAATTGCTAATTATAAAATCATTAAGGACTAGACATGGTGGCTTACACCTATAATCCCAGCACTTTGGGAGGCTGAGGCAGGAGGGTTGCTTGAGCCTAGGGGTTGAAGATCAACCTAGGCAACATCGTGAGACTTCAACTCTACAAAATTAAAAAAAAATTAGCTGGGTGTGGTGGTGCACACCTGTAGTCCCAGCTACTTGGAGGTTGAGGCGGGAAGGTCACTTGAGCCCAGGAGATGGAGGCTGCAGTGAGTGATTATGCTGCTGCACTCCAGCCTGGATGACAGTGAGACCCTGTCTCAAAAAAAAAAAAAAATCATTAAGGTCATTTGTCTTTCCTCAATTCAAATTTGACCAGTGTTTCCCAGTTGGGTCTCAAGGGGTGATGCTGGTCTGTGAACTGCTTCCCATTCATGGGGAGGTACGTACAGAGATTGAGAGTGTTAGGAAATTTCAGAGTAATTTGACAGAGTAATGTTATTATTGCATCCAATAAAACATCTGGGTTTGTGTTTTGTACATTTAATTTAACAAAAGTATTGATTTGAGGCAGAGTTCGAAAAAATAAGGAATAAATTGGTCCACCACAAATAGTTTGAGAAGCACCAGATAATACTGGGTATTGGCAAATTCTTTCTGCAAAAGACCATACGTTCTCTGTGGCAATGATTCAGTTCCCACAGTTGTCACGTGAAAGCTGGCATAGAGAATTTACAACCCAAAGAGCATGGTTGTATTATGAGAAAACTTTATTGCCACTAAAATATGATTTTAACATATCATTTTTGCATGAGGAATTCTTCTGATTTTTTTTCAAGCATTAAAAAACATAAAAATCATTCTTATCTTGCCTGCTGGACAAAAACAGGCAGTGCATAGATTTGGCCCAGAGGCCATAGTTTGCCAACCCATGGGTTAGACGATATCGTCTCTGAGAGTTAGTATCTATCTTAGACACAGGAATGTTTGTGTGTGTTTGATGATGCCAGTTTTCTTTTGAATAGGAACTATATTCATAAGTTAAAAATCAAAACAGCATAAAAATTTATATATCAAAAAATCCTTCTCTCACCCCATCTGTGCCAACCTCATTTCTTACCAGCCCTACTCCCTAAAGGTAGCCGTTTTGATGAATCTCTTGCGTGTTCTTTGAGTGTTACTGGAAATATTAACACAAAAATATTCACAGATGTATTTTTCTACATAAGTGTGGCACACTGTTTATACTAATCTCTTATTTGCTCTTTTCTGTTACCACCATATCCTGAAGCCCTTTGTCCACTGGAGCAGAGAGCTTCCCTCATTAGATGAGTGTATTGGGTCCTTTTTTGAGTTGGTATCATGATTTCTTTAACAAGCTCTCTCAACACATACTCTTGGATTCTTTCCACCTCAATTCAGAACCATGCTACAATGAACAAACTTGCTCATACATCACTCTGTGTGTGCATGTGTGTGTGTTTGTGTGTGTGTGTGTGTGCACACACATGCACACATAGGCGCCTGCATCCATAGGGTGAATTTCCAAGTGGGGTCACTGAGTGAAAGGATAAATGCATTTGTAATTTTGATAGATGTTGCCAATTTGCCCTCCGTGGGTGTTTTGCCCTCCCACCAGCTATGTGAAAGTGCCCGTTTCCCCACGCAGCCTTGCTAGTAAGTCAAGTTGTCAGACTTCTGGATTTTTATTCATTGTAATAGATAAAAATGGCGTCTCAGTGGAATTTTAATGTGCATTTCTCTTGCTATGCATGAGAGTGAACATGACCGAGCTACCTCTAGCAAATGAAACATTGGGCGCAGAATTAGAAGAGGTGCTTCTTCTGGGAAGACGGATTACGGGAAGGTACCTCCTCTGGGGAAATGTAGAGCTTGCTGGGCTGGGCAGGGGCTTTCTCCTGTAGGAAACTGAGCTCCCACCTGCGTCCCCTGTGCAGGGTACCTTTGTGAAGGGATCCACACCCAGAAGCCCAGATGGGGGTTATTAGAGAAACAGGTGGGGCCTGTAGCCGGTCCAGGTGGAAATTTCCCAGTGGAACCCTGAACGGCAGGAGGGGAAGTAGCATCCAGGTGAGACTAGGACCCGCTGCACAATGTGTATGACCGGGTTGGGTGCAGTGGCTCATGCCTGTAATCTTAACTCTTTGGGAGGCCAAGGTGGTAGCATTGCTTGAGGCCAGGAGGTTGAGACCTGCCTGGCCAACATAGTGAGACCCCATCTCTATTTAAAAATAATAAAAATAAATAGATTTGGGCAGTCCAGCACAAAATGAAATGTGGGAAGGAACTCTCGACTGAAGATTAGTAAGAGTTTTCAGATAGCCACAGCAGAGCATTAAACCAGGCCTGGCACCCTTCCCAACACAGGGTCCTGTGGGCCTGCAGGGGCTGCACACCTGGGAAACCAACCCCACTGATGAAATAACACCCCGAGGGTCCAGCTGGTGGCCAGCATTACATCGCCCCACTTTTTCTCCTTACTAGACTGGCCACATAGGAGAATTACATTCCATGCGGAAGATGTGGACTGCAGCCTCCCAGATCAAGACCAGCCTTCCTGCTTTCTCCCAGCCGGCCGGCAGGAGCTGCTATTGCCCGCGGAAGGGGAGGGAGAGGTCTAGGTTTCCCCTGTAATCGTCATGGCAGCTGTAGACCTATCAGACCCAAGGCCTTTCATTTGTCATCATTCTAATTCTCAAGCACGCCCATGCAGGACTCACCAGCGTTATCTCCATTTAGATGAGAGAACTAAGGCTTAGGGAGATGGAGGAGGGGGGACTTGACACAGCCAGTCTGAATCCAGAGCCTATTTTGTTTTGTTTTGTAAAGAAAGACAAGTTCTCCCTGTGTTGCGCAGACTGGCCTTGAACTCCTGAGCTCAAGCAATCCTCACACTTCAGCCTCAGCCCCCTGAGAAGCTGGGACAACAGACACACACCATCACACTGGGCTCAGAGCGTGTACTTTTAACCCCTACCCCTGTTTGTTCTCACACTAACAGTGCATAGGGCAATACATACACACACACACACAGACACACACATGATTTGCTAATTGCTTTATTTAGAAGAGACCCCTCGGAGTGCACCTGCTTTGGTTAAGCAGGAAGTTGAGGTGGAGGAGAGCAGTGGAGGGCTGGAAATCTCCTGCTGGGCATCTTATTCTGGGTGGGGATGGAAGGGCTCCTGCCTGGCCTCTAGGGTGGGTGACAGATGCTTTCTGCATTGCCAAGGAACTTGGTTAGGGCAGGGAGGGAGAGTATGAGAGAGGGAAACTCAGAATTGGGAGGCAGGGCTTCCAGGGAGGAGGGGACTCAGCAGCGGGGGGTGCTCCCACTGCACTGTTTATTGGAGTAGTACTGGTACTTTTTATTATAGCTCCTCTTGTTTCTAGCAAAACAGCTGGCAGCAGCCTTGTCACACTCACACAGTTGACTTCTGCAGGAGTCCTGTTTTGCTGAAATCACAAGAAAATAAACACAATATGGAGTTTTGTTAATATTCAGTGGCTTCTTGTGGGAACCCTGGGGTAGAAGATACAGCCCTGTCCTCCAGAAGCTCCTAGTTGAAGACAAACACCTGTGCTCCAGATATTTCTGACCCAGGGGGAGACAGAATTCCTGCCCACAGGATGCTGGCCTCCAGCCTGGTGGGGACACAGCCAAGCACTGGGAGACTCTCTCAAAGGCCTTCCTAACAGCCATCGTCTCTTCTTCTTGTTAACAGGTGTGTCTAGGATGCAAAGCCATAGTCCCGGGGCTCTGGGAATGGATTGTGATTGATGTAAGCCAGGCAGGGTCATCCCTTTTTCCTTTGCAGTGATTGGCTGCTGTGTATCATGTAACCTTGTTCCAACCAATGAGCAACAAAGGGAAGTCTGCTGGGGGCTTCTGGGAAGGATCTGCTTCCTCCCTCCAAAAAGAGAGATGCCCAAGAGGAAAGCCTCTTGCACAGTGTGAGGCCAGGATCGCGGAGCTGCAGCCTGTGTCTGACATCCCAGGTGTAGGTACTGCCCACGTGACATAGCAGAAGGCCAGGAGAAGGCTGGATTCTTGACGACATGGCTAGAAAGCTGCCCCAGGCCTGGCACTGCCCTTGTTAGTTATGTGTCAGTCACAACATATTCCCATTATCCAAGCCACTATCAGCTTGGAATCATGTGGCTTGTGACCTAACACCTGCTGAAGATACATGCCTCTATGGAGGGGCCATGATGGGAGACATCATTTCTGATCTTAAAGGACTCAGGCTGTGGGCAGGAGTCCACGCTTTCTCCAAATCCCACTCATGGTCAGCTGTCTGGGGACACCAAGCAAAGCCTTCCAGTGCCACCCCCCCTCCTCCCCTTCAGGGCCAAACTTTCTGCAGAAGGTTGTCTTCACTACCGTCTCTACTTCCCTTCCCATCAGCTTCGACCTGCTCTAATCTGGCTTTGCCCTCCCTACTCTGTGGAAACAGCTTCCCCAGGGTCCCTAATGCCTTCCTGCTTCGACATCCAGGGGAGCCTTGTCGGCCCTTTTCCTGGAGGACTCCTCTGTTCAGTTGACCCTTGTTGATCACCTCCTCACCGACTCCTTGACCTCGCTCAGTTCTCCTTCTCCCTTTCTGTCTATCCCTCCTCTGTCTCCTTTCTGGGCCTTTAAACAGCAAATGAGCGATCACACCCACCTCTCAGCTCTCCGCTGCCGGCTTCTGAATCTGTGTCCCCAGTCCTGACCTCTCCCCTGAGCTGTATTTGTACAGACAGCTGCCTGCTGGACCCCTCCCTGGGTGCTGGAGGCCCCAAACTCAACATGCTGGAAGCAGAACTGCTCCTCCTCAACCTCCACCACCTCTTCCTGTGGTCTTTGTCACAGTTACGCCATCCAGCCAGCCACATATCCACCCAACAGCCCCCTCCCCCCACCTCTCCCCACTCGTCACCCAGCTCAGCTGATTCCACCTCAAATGCATCTTGATTTTTTTCTCCACCTTTCCCATCCTGAGCTCTGTTGTTTTATGTCAAGCTGTTGCTCCCTCTTGCTTGCATGATGGCAATAGCTTTCTCTGCCCCCCTTCCACTTGTCTGCAGCGACCCTGGCCCCACAGTGAGTCCTCTAATATTGCAAATCCGACCCTGTAGCTCCTTTGCTTAATAGCATCCTATTGCTTTAGGGCAAAAACCTAAATACAGCCTGGCCTGGAGGGCTGGATTGACCTAGCCCCTTCCTATGTCTCCAGCATCATGGCTTGGCACTGCTTCTCCCAGCAGGCCAGTAGGAGCTGCTATTGCCCGCGGAAGGGGAGGGAGAGGTCTAGGTTTCGCCTGTAATCATCATGGCAGCTATAGACCTATCAACCCAAGGCTTTTCATTTGTCATCATTCTAATTCTCAAACACGCCCATGCAGGAGGCACCAGTGTTATCTCCATTTAGATGAGAGAACTAAGGCTTAGGGAGATGGGGGAGGGGGGGCTTGACACAGCCAATCTGACTCCAGAGCCTATTTTTTTGTTGTTGTTTGATTTGTGTTTGTAAAGAAAGACCAGGTCTCCCTGTGTTGCCCAGACTGGCCTTGAACTCCTGAACTCAAGCAATCCTCACACTTCAGCCCCAGTGCCCTCACATTTCTGCTGGGCAGTACAGAATGGCTTACAGTGCCCTTTGGTGCCTTTGACCATGCTGTGTCCTCTTCTGGGAATGCTCCCAGCCCTCCTCGACCCTGACTGTCTGCACAACCTTTAAGACTCAGCTTAGAGGTCACCCCTTCCAGGAGCCTTCCTCAAGCCTCAGGCTGTGTTAACGCCTTAGCTGTTTGTTTACTTCCCACTGGAGTCTTTACCACACTGGATTTTCACTTTCCTGGCTTCCCACTCAACCGTGAGCTTCCTGAGGCAGGAACTGTGTGTCCCTATGTGTCTATCTTTGGTGCCCAGCACAGTCCCTGGCAATGTCTAAAAAATGAGGGAATGCGATGGTGATGTAGGACTCTTACCACAGGTGATGCTGCTCCCCTTGTTGCTAAACTTGTAGCTCAGAAATTTGGTGCCACATCCACGTCTCTCCAGGTGTTTGTAGCAACAGTCATGAGCGAAACAGCAGCTGCAGGGAGGCATCCTATTGGGGCTACTGTCCCACAGCGCCAGAAAGCCTGGCGCCCATATCTCACCCCCACCTCCGACCCTGGGCAGAGACCCAGCGACTTTGCAACAGTCTAGAGCAGAAGTTCCAACATGCTGGCTGCTTTTCCAGCCAGGCCATCCTGAGACCTCTGTGCCCAGCAAGAACCGGCACTGTCTTTGCAGATCCCAGACCTGCCTGGGCCAGAGTCTAGGCAGGTAGGGAGGGATGGATGGCCTCACCGGTCCGTTGCATCCTTGGGGGTTCCTTTGCCACCCACGCCACAGTGGCAGCCATAGAAGCCATAACTGGTTGTGGCTTCCCTTCCTGTCGCCAACTTGATCATTTTCCGGAAATTCAGCAAATCGCCATGGGCCTGCAGTAGGCCTGGAAGGAAATTTGGGAGTTTCCTGGAGGGCACGGGGTCCTGTGCCCTCCCTCTTTGCACCTCTCTGCTACTCTCCTTCCTCCCAAATGGCTTCTTTTCTCCCCCTGAGAGAGGATGGCTGCAATGGGAGAGAACACTAAGGGACACGAGTGCTTCCCTCCTGGGGCTGCCCATCAGTGCTCAGAGGTCAGGGTCAGGGTCAGTTCTTACCAAAGACCATGATCACTGCCAACAGTAGGAGGGTCTTCATGGTAAGAGTCACTGGGTGACAAATGCAGATGACCTGGCCTAGCTCCTCTGCTGGGTGGTCTCAGCTTCTGTCCCGGCTGGTGCTCCCCTGTTCCTGCTTGGCAGCTCTGAGACACACAGACATGCTCTCCCATCCAACCTAACTCCAGGGTGACCTCCTCTGTCACACCCAGAGCACACAAGGAGTGCCCTCCAGCAATGCACACACACACACATGCCACCTCCTGACCGGCTCCCAGCTCTGCAGAATGGTTGCACACACATCAGACCCTCAGACCTGTGGAGAGCCCCATGATACACTAGTAAGAACTGCCCTGTGCCTCATCAGACTGAGAGTTCTTGGGAGATTGGAACCAGGTTCCTCCCAACTCACCAGGAGGTTCCTGAGGTCAGAGGATGTGTCCCCCGCTAGACATAGCTTGCACATCCCCACACTGGATTCAAGCCTGGGAGTCTCCCGGGCACCCATGGAGCCTCAGCCTCAGTGTTTTCCTCCAGAATGAAAGCATCAGCCTCTCTCTGCAAGGCTTTCCAGCCCCTTCCACATACACACATTCCCAAACACATACATGCTCACACACCTATGCCCACATACACATCCTCTTGTACTTACTTGCCAGTGTGAACATCCTCTCATATACTACACTCACATACCCACTCAACACACTCATGCACACACACCCTCTTGTGAATACCAAATCACGCACATGCATGCTTATGCACACACATGCCTACATGCGCACACATGGACAACACAGCCACTCTCAAAGGCAGTGAATGAGCAGGAATTCTGCTCTTGACTGTATACCTCAGCGGAGTCAGCGTTGTATCTCCAGGCTGCCTTGTTTGTTCTGCACTCCTGCCTCCCTTAAATAGCCGTTCCCTCTGGGAGGTTGGGAGTAGGTGAGGCATGAGGCTGGGGATGGGCGTGGCCAGTTGGTGGACTCAGGATTGGCCGTCCATGGGTAATCCCTTTCCTTTCCCTCATCAGCTGGCAGGACAGAGTTGAGGATTGGGAAAACTTACGTGTCCATAGCTGATGCCAAAATACATTCCAGGCCATTTTGCAGTCTCTCCATGGGCTTCGTTTCTGATGGAGTCAATTCCCATAACCAGCTCTGGGTGTGACCAATGGTCAGCCACCTCCCTGCAGCCGCTTCCAAGGGTGGAAAGGACTGTTTGCTGTTGCAGGCTGTGGACTCATTTGCATGCCCAAAGGGACCACTAATTGCTGAGCAAGGATTGCTCCCTTCTTCTGCTCAATGTGGCATTTGCGAATAGAAGAGAGGGCTTTTAATGGTACTCAGTCACTCACTCACTCACTCACTCATTCACAGGAAGTATACACTGGGCCTCTACCACGTTCCAGCACCTGTGCAGGCCTCAGGTGTGCACCCCACAGTCCACCAGGGAGATGGTTTAATGGGGTTGGATTTTGCTTCCCACTAACTTGGGCCAGGACCTCCACCTTTTCTTCCTCTACTTTCTTCTTTTCCTCTGCCCTGTCCTATATGGGTTTCTAAACCTGGAAAAAGCCAGAGGCTATCCTTGAAGTTCCCACCAAAGCCCTGCCTTCGCTTTAGCCCCCATCCTCACCTGTTCGGAGTTGGGGCTGATGAATGCTCCCTGGATCTGTTGCTCTTTTCCCTTCAGCCTTCAGGCTCACACTGACTCCAGCCTTAATTTGTAAAATAAACATCTTTTTCACTGCTCTCCAGTACATGCTAAGAATTTAGCTTCCTCGGCCTTAAGTAAACACCCTGCGATACCAGTCCTAAAAAAGTCAGTGTGGCAGAGGCTCTGGTGCTTGTGAACATTCCATCTGTTCCCTACACTCTAGAGCCCCTTGCAGGGATGGGGACCTGGGACCCTGCTGCTGGCTGGTAAAACACAAGCATTGCTAGTAAGGGTCACTTCCAGGTTTCTCCAAAAGGGGACAATGAGATGCAACTCCCCAGCTCTTCCCTGCCCCTCCCCGATAGAAGTAGAAGATGAAAGCAGTCTGGGGTGCAGCATCATAGCATGGAGGGCAGTTGTCCTAGAAAGTCCTGCAGCGCACAGTGGTCTTAGCGTGAGTGAGAGATAGATTTCTGTTGTATTAAGCTGCTGACAGTTGAGACTGGTAGTTACTGCAGCATCACCTAGTCTGTCCCAACAGCCATCAGACAGCTTTCCTCTTGAAAATACTGTTTACCTCCAGCGCTTGACTGTGTAAGGGGTTGGACTGTGGTCCTCTCCTTCCTGCCCTCAATTCCCGTGTTGAAATTCTGGTAACTTAGAATGTGATCTTATTCAGAAATAGGGTCATTGCAGATATAATTAGTTAAGATGAGGTCACTCGGGTAGCTAGGATGGGCCCTAAGCCAATATGACAGAGACCATTATAAAAAGGGGAAACTTGAAGACAGGAAAGCACTGGGAGAAAGCCAGGCAAAGATGAAGGTAGACATCAGGGTGATGCTTCTACAAGCCAAGGAATGGCAAATATTGCCAGAAACACCAGAAGCTAGGAGAGAGGAATGGAGCAGATTCTCCCTCACAGCCCTCAGAAGGAATCAAGGCTATTGGCCCCTTTGATTTCTGCCTCCAGAACTGTTAAACAATACAATGCCTGTTGTGTAAGCCACTCCATTGGTTTCATTAGGTTCAAAGTATCTAATACAACGCCAAAGCAAACCAACACTGAATTGCCACTCCTACAGCAGTTGGTTTTATGGCCACGTCAGGGTTCAGAGGTCTCATCCCCAGGGGTAGACCTCAATGCATAACCTCAGTCTGATCATGAGAGTATATCAGACAAACCCAGATTGAATGACATTCTACAAAAGCTTGACCAGCACTAATCAACAATATCAAGGTCATATAAGGCCAAGAAAAGTAAGGAGCTGTCACTTTTCTTAAACATGGCACTTTTGGAAACAGTGGTTCCTGCAATAGGCAGAACCGCTTCCCACTCTGTATACCGTGTAGCCCTGGCCCAGGCATCAGGCGGAAGAAATGCTCCAACACTCAAGGACTCTGGAGACCGCTGATAGTGCCTCTCCTTTTCTCATGGTTTCAGGATGCTTTTTAGGAATTCAAAGTCCATTAATTGGCCTCTTGTTCATCATCCATCCCAGGCTTAATCCAAGCACTTGAACTGGGGGAGCCAAGCAGAAATCTCTACTTTGATGGGCCTTCTGCTTTAGCAGAAAGAGACAGACAATCAGCAAGAGACATACTAGTCAATGACGTCATGTGTTAGGTGGTGACACCGTGGTGGGGAGAGGGGCAGTAGGTGACAGAACAGGAGCACCATCATCTCAGACAAACACTGCCACTTTAAGTTCCAGCTCCCTTTCTAGCCTCAGGCATTTTAAGGAAATCACTTCTCTTCTAACTGTAAGCAGCTGGAAAGAACAAACAGTAAAACACAGATAAGCAGGCACAGAGGGAGGTGCAGGGAAAGTCTCTTGGGTAACTGCGAAACTTCAGAAACTTCACGCTCATACAATGGGCTCCAGTAAAACAAATGATATTGTGTCCTTCAGTGGATCTTAATGAGCACATTCCTTTCCCTTCAGGTGCACCAAGACAGGGAAGCTAAAAGCAGACTTGGTGGGGACGGGTTGTGCCTGCAGCAGAACGAGGTACAGGAACAGACACGGAAACTCTCCCTCCAAGATAAGCACAACAAAAAGACACAGAAACAGTCCATGCCTCTGATAAACTCTCCCAGCTTGAATCCTTAAAAATTCTTAGTCTGTAAGGAGAGTGTGCCTCTGATCTAACGTGGCCAGACACCCCTCTTGTTTTCTCTAAAATAAACCTGTCCTTGACTGCCAAGCCACCTTTCATGTTTCTTTCCTCTTTCTTTAGTTCTTTCAGCAGGGATGGAGGAGGGGTATCTCGAGTGGGTGTGTGGCAATTTTAGACAGGACTGGAGAGCTCAAGGAGGAGGTGGTTTGAGCTTACTCGGTGTTCAGAACACTTTCCTTGCATTATTAATAACTAAAAGAATCAGCATATTGACGGCAGTTTTTTCCTTTGCCAATCAATATCTGCATAAGCAGTTGTTTTTAGTAGCAGGATTATGATTGAAATTTTTCTGCTACTGTTTCCTAATGTTCCTTTGTAAACATACATTACTTTAAAAAATTCTTATTTTGAGAAATTTTCACTTACAGAAACAATTGCAAAAGTGGAGTTTCCAAATGCCCATCACCCAGGCTCCCTAATGTTAACATCTTTCATGACCATTGTAAAATCATGGAAACCAAGAAATTAATGTTATTAACTAATCTACAGACATTATTTTAATTTCACCAGTTTTCCTACTCATCTCTTTTTTCTTCCAGGCTCTCACATCGAATGTAGTTTTCACGTCTCCTTGGTCTTCGCTAATCTGTGACAGCTCCTTACTTTTCTTGGCCTTTTATGACCTTAACATTATTGATTAGTACTGGTCAAGCTTTTGTAGAATGTCATTCAAGTTGGGTTTGTCTGATATACTCTCATGATCAGATTGAGGTTATGCATTTTTAGCAAGAATATTACAAAGTGATATTGTGTCCTTCTCAATGATATTGGTATATCTCACTACTATTGAGATTAATTTTGGTCATCTGGTTAAGATGGTATCTGCCAAGTTTCTCTACTATAAAAGTTACTATTTTTCCTTTTGTAATTAATAAGTATGTTGTGGGGGGATACTTTGAGATGGTTCAGATGTCCCTTTTCTCACCATATCTCCTCCTACTCACAAATTTTGGCCATTTCAGCGTCAATCGAAGGTTCTTGGCTGTAGCAATTATTACTGGTGTTTTCTGGTTTCCTCATTCTTTTTAAATGAAGAATTTGAATTATACTATGGGCAAGAGCTTTCCCTTCTAGTTATTTATTCAACTACTTATATTAGTAGCAGCTTATTTTCTAGGCTATTTATTTTCTCACTCAAATTGTTCCATCTTGGCCATGAAGAGCTCCTTTAAGTTGACACCTATCTTGTCTTAACATGTTCCTATCATTTTTTTTTCTGAGACAGAATCTTGCTCTGTCACCCAGGCAGCTAGAGTGCAGTGGTGTGATCACTGCAACCTCCGCCTCCTGGGCTCAAGCGATTCTAATGCC